GGGGGGGGGGGGGGGGGGGTAGGGGGGGGGGGGGGGGGTCAGACTGTCACTATAAAAGGGGGAGGTTTTGGGGGAAATAGAACTTTTCTATACCCCATTCATGAAGGTTATCCACATCTATGTATGTGTTAAAACTCACACAGCTATTGGGGCCGGCCCAGTGGCGCACTGCTACAGGGCGCCGCTTGGGAGTGCGGCGACGCTCCCGCCGAGGGTTCGGATCCCACATACAGACCGGCCGCTCACTGGCTGAGCAGGGAGCGGACGCAACACCGAGGGTTGTGATCCCGTTGCCGGTCCCGGCCCGGTACGGGCGCAACACTGAGGGTTGCGATCCGTTGCCGGTCATGAAAAAAGACAAAAAGGAAAAAAAAAAAAAAAACGCACACGGCTATATACCAAAGGAAAAAGTCAATTTTACTGTGTGATAATTAAAAAACAATAAATGCAAGAACTCATCATGAATCCCATCCAGGTTAATTATCCCCTAGTCCTATGAAGTAGCTCCTTTCCCCAGGGCTCCCTGGGGTCCTGCCTTCTCTGAATGTTCTAGGCCAGCCCCACAGCAACCCCTCTTGTTACTCACCCTCCCACCCCATCTGCCTCATCCTATACTATAAGGTGACCAATACCTGAGCCCCACAACTGAGAGATTTCATCTGGATCAAGATAGGGCACATACGACTTCAGCTTGCAGGGTGAGAAGTGGTTAATTTCTGATGCTCCCTCAGATCGTCTGACTACATGGGGTAGGGGTGGGGTTGGGGGAGGTAATGAGCCTGAATCTTGAAAACCACACCGTTAATGTCCACGTTTCACAAAGAGAGTTCAGTCTCAGAACCATGGACAGGCTAGCATTTAGTACCTTGTTTTGTTTGTCATGAAAAAGCCAATTTTTTAAATTCCATGTTATTAGGCCATCTTTTATTTTGTTGAAATCAGTAGTTAGAAACCACCCAACTTGCAATATAATTTCCCAGATTTCAGAGTCTGAATTTTTTTTCCCAGACCCATATTAACATTTCGGTTTGTTCTTTTGTTTGGTATCTCAGAGGACTGTACTCACTGGGGCAATAAACACTATGATAACTCAACAAAGCAAAAGAAACCCAGCATGGTGCCAGCAGTCTGTTGACCTTTTTAAGGAAAGGATTACTTTTGGAAGAATGTCCTCAAGGACCTCCTGGACTTCTCCTGGGCCAGAACTAACAAAGGATGAGACAGAACTGCCAGAAGTGAAAGAGTAAGCGAGGAATTCCTGGACGTTAAATGCCACTCAATGCCAAGCAGAGGGTGACACACACTGGGTCCTCGCCAGTGATTGGCAACAGAGTGCCCACACTGTGCTGTGCTGCTGTGATCTTAGAAACAGCCAGAAATGGCCTCTACCAACAAAATAGATAATGCTATGACGAATAACACTGTGCAAAAGGAAAAATTCCATTTTTGCTGAATTCACTGTTTTCCAAAACAATGTCAGTGACTAAAAAGGAGAGGCAATAGATGATGTTAACCTTAAAAAAAAAAAAAAAGCTTCAAATTAAATGGTAAAATAAGCTCACAAAGAGATTTAAAAATAAAAGCAGAGTTCTTAGGATTATCCTTCAGAAAAGTCGTATCCATTTTCCGTCAGGGCTGTAGGAAAGTTTCCTGTGTGCTCACCAACAAATGATATTTCATTAAAAGTAATCATTGCCAACGTGACCTGGGAAACATGTATTGTTTTACTATGTATTTCTTTTATTCTTGTTTTACTGTCTTTCATTTTTCTACTGGGTTCTTAATATATTTAGGACAGTATCATTTTCTGCCCTGTTTTTTTTTTTTTGCAATTTCCCAGTTTGTCATTTGCTGTTAGCTATACTTGTGATTTTCATTTTACAAATAAGAAATTTTACAATTGTATGCAGTGAAATATTTAAATCCTTTCCTTTGGAATCTTTTTCACTGGTTTTATTATTGAAATAACCGTTACCAACCAGTTCACCTCTTTCTATGTTTTTTTCCTATAGTTTGATGTGTTCCATTGAACTCCTTAATCTATCTGGGATTTACTCTGGTATATGGTCCAAGTATGCTTTTGTTATTTCCATTTAGCAACACCTCCCCCAATCACAGATGAAGCTAACCCAACCCTGCTGATATGGACCATATACTGGGATCTGTTTCAGAGCTCCTCTGGGCCAATCATCTGACTGCTGAGGAGAGACACATTGTCTTAATCCACAGTTTGCACAACCTTTTGCTATCTAGTAGAAGTCGCTCCTCACAATCAATGCTTTCTACAAATTTGTCCCGAGTTCCTCAGGGGAAATGCTTCTCCAATTACGTTTCAGGAAGGTATATATATTTCTGGATCTTTCAGAAGCCATAACCAGCACTGCAATTGGTGCCGTAGGGTCATGCCCAGCAGCCTGGGGAGCACAAGGAAGGTCTGTGGAGCGGCTGACATGCTGCCTGCACTCTAGGGCATGGAAATCCAAATGAATGAATTCCAGTCCTGAGACTGGGCCTACTCCAGGTCAGCATGAGACCCCTTGCCTCAGAGCAGCACCTCTGGGATGGGCACTGAGGACGGCTGCTGCTCTACAAGGTGATGACCAGGGAGGGACATGACAGGGGGAAGGGAGCACAAAGGTGTGCTCACATCACATAAGGAGGGTGGGACCTGCCCCCAGGACTTCTTATCTCAGCCAGTAGTCAGAATTCACCATGCAGTGGAGCAAGAGCACCTCATGTCTTTGACTTATGAACTATTTCCTTACGGTAAAACTTGCTCATTTCTTACGGAAAAATTGTTTTAAAGGGACATCTCAACAGGAAAAGCAGTCATAAGATTCTTGCTGTCACCTTTCTGGTTTTCCAAGAAAAATCCAAAGCATAAAAGCATGCAGACACCCTCCCATGTGTGCACACACACATTACACGTGGTATAAAGGGTTTTCTCCTGTGAAGAAGCTCACTGTGGCTGTGGTCCCAGCCACCGTGATGAGGGTCCACAAGGTGCGGCTCTTATTCAGAAGGAAAATTTTAGGTTTTCACATTGTATTGGTTCCCTAGATTTGCTGTAATAAAGTACCACAAATTAGGTGGCTTAAAATGACAGAAATTTATTCTCTCAGTTTGAGAGACTAGAAGTCTGATATTAAGGTGTCAGCAGGGCCATGCTCTCTCTCCAGGCCCGTCAGGAAGATCCTCCTTTACCTCATCCTAGATCAGCTGCTGTTAATCCTTGGCATTCCTTGGCTTGCAGACGCAGCTTTCTAATCTCTGCCTCTGTCTTCACGGGGCTGTCTTCCTTGTGTGCATTTTTTCCTCTTCTTATAAGGACACAGTCATACTGGATTAGAGCCCACCCTATTGACCTCATCTTAGCTGGATTACATCTACAAAGACCCTATTTCCAAATAAGGTCACATCCACAAGTACCAGGGCTTAAGATTTCAATGAATCTTTTAGGGTGACACAATTCATCCACAACACACATCAACCAACCTTGTTGACTAAAGTCATTGCATAAACCAGCAGCTCTGTGTCAACCCCATCTTTTTCTTCCAGGATTTCCATGATATTTGACCAGGGTTTGACACCTATGAATAAAGCAAAAATCATTAGAAATAGCAATTCAACAATACACCTTATCCAACTTACATCATAAGTTTATCCAAGGACCTATTACCCAGTGATGGCAGTGTCTTTCAGTCACCAAATTTCAGAGTGTGACACTATCCTTAAGGTGAACTTAAGCATGCTTCCACTTAAGAATATTTCATAGTAGGCAACACCATACCCCATCATCTTTGTCCTTTTGACGAGAGTACTGTATACCCTTCAGTGTCAGGATGCCTATCTACTTATGTGAAAAATTCCCTTTAAATTAAATACATAATTTTTAAAAATCCATTCATGTTCAACTTTTAGGCACAGATTTCACTTAGAGCCCAAAACTCTTGATAAGTATTCTCTGAATGTCCGTCAGCACACATGGAGAGGGATGTGGCATTTCTTTACACTCACTCGATTCAGTGACTGCAAGAAATAACAGTGACACGCCTGTCTGGAAAACATCTCAAGAACAGGAGTATTTTACCTCTATTCTGTCAAGGCACAAACACTGTTGAAGCATCGGCTAGGTACAAGATAGGCACAAGGCCTAGCAGGCAGCTGCCCTCAGTAGGTTTCTAACCTAAGGGAGCAGTTAGGCATAGGCGGAAGAACAGACATCAGCACAGAGCAAATGGCTGAGAAGTGACGAAGCACTTAGCTCACTCAAAAAGAGAGGACTCTTGCAGGGGGACGGCTGTGGACGGCTCAATGCAAGAGGTGGCTCCTGAGCGGACTCTGCAGGAAAGGCTTATCAGTGGTTATCCTCAGCCTCCAGGAGGTGGCAAGAACAGAGGGCAAGACTGAAAAGGGGGGCACAACCCCTTGACACAGTTTCCTACATCTGAGACAAATGTTTGAAGTGAAGTAAGCACTTCCTTGCCCTTAGCTTGGTGGTCTGAAACATGAAGCTCTTTCCTGCATTCTCTAGAAAGATCTCAATGGGATATTGCTTATTTTTGCTTGATAAAAGTAAATTTGGAAATAACCTAAATACAGTTGTTCCCAAATGCTGGTCCTTGGATGGGTTATATTAGAGCTGATCCTGGCCTTGAGAACAAAAGGTCAGCGACAGTGTCTGTCTTGTTTACTTCTGTGCTCGTAGTACAGTGCCTGGCATATAGTATGTGCTCAATAAAATGTCTGCTGAATAATGGAGATCTCCAAGAAAGCATGAAGTGGAGTTTTAAAAGAATCAGAGGGCAGATGCTCACAGTAAAAAAAAAAAAAAAAATGATAGAAGACAAGAGGATTAAACAAAGAATAGACACCTACTATAAGTTGTGAAAGACACAGATGTAGTTTGATGTAGAGGTCCATGGGCTCTCCCAACAAGTGAATCGAAAGTCTTTTCCTTTGGCTAAGTTGCCCCGGCCAGTCAGCACTGAGCAATCTTCCATGACCCTTTCTAATTCTGACCACAAAGGCGTGATCCTTCGCCTGCTAACTGCCGAATTACCACCTTGCTGATACTTATCATCAAACTACTTTTAAGTCCACACCACAGTGTGATTGTTCTTCGAATCCCAGCAAAGTAACCATTTCAGTCCTCAAGACAGCCAGTCAATGTGGTCTGTAGGCCTTGGGCCTCATCGTCCAGGTGCAGTTCCAGAGCTCTGGGTGTCTCTGCTTGTGTCTGTAACAGGGGTTGCTTCTAGCATTCACACACAGCACCAAACCTCACATAAAACACGTGTTCTAGTGAGCTCCCCACGCATGGGTAAAAGGAAGGCTGTGGAGGAGAAAAAGCAATGAAGCTAAGAATTTCCAGTGGTGCTAGAAGGCCCAGAACTGCTTTCTGGTGGATTACTCTGGAGCCAAAGATGCCAAAAAGGATCTGGGGAAGGAAAGGCCAAGAAGGAAAGGCAGGCATCCCAGAGAGAGGGAAGAAGCCAGACTGCACCCCACCCCCAGCCACCTCTCTCATACAGACACATACACATGTGCACCAGCTAATCCTTTATTATAAAAACACTCAAACACTGGCTTAATTTAATTGAAAACTGTGTTCTTCAGCTGTGATATCTGACTCTTTTATTACCGTTTAAGGATTTTGAGTCTGGAAACATGCATATGTTCATACACTGCGGAGATGAATGCTCACTCTCCTTTGTTTTGGGACCAGAAAATGGGAAGTATTTAGAAGAATGAAGGTGAAGGGGAGGAAATATTTGGTTCAACACAAATAGCCTTGGAGGGGCTCAAGCAAGGCCTGTGTTACACACCAGCACTTGCCACTTTCCTAAGAGCTGCCTCCTGTCAGAATGAAGTGTCCAGCTCACTGTCCCCTCGCCGCCTTTGCTAGCTCCCTACAGTGTGTCTGGGTGCGTGGGTGTGGGGGTGTTGCGGGGAGGGCGTTCCTGTATTAGAATCATCAACTATATGATCCCACTCCTTCTCATAACAGAGGAAAAAACTGGGCCCCAAAGTAGTAGAATAAAGGGAGGCTCAAGAGACTCTCCAGGATTACTGTGAGGTGTCACTGAGATAAAGCACTTCCCCTTTTTCCATAGCACTGAGGAAGTAATTAGAACACAGTACTTTACTTAATCATTACCATCTCTCTGTCTCCACTTCCACCCACCCCCAACACTGGAGAATAGGCTCTATGAAAGCCTATTTTTTTCCTGACATTGCAAGCACATAGTTGATATTCGAATACTTGCTGAATAAATGAGTCACACATGAAAAATTCTTAGTGTTGTGCTTGTTACATGGGAGGCACTCAAATATCAGTAGCTGTAATGATGGTGGTGGTGACTGGCGGCGACACCCATGCTTAACCCACAGGCCGCCTTCTACATAGGCTCCTGGGCCAGTTCTCTCTTCCCACCAAACCCCACTGCCTCTCCTTTGACCCAGAAAAAATAAATACACACAGAAGAAGAATAAATTGCTTGATACTGTTTCTCTCTTACTCTCCTCCGAGGTTTCTGCACTAAACCGAAAGGAAAATAAGATATATAGCCTGCTGCCTTATACATGAGTTGATCTCACACACAGAAATTCCTCGCACACGTTCCATGTCTTTCCACATAAAGGACAAAAACACGCAACAGACAGTGCTGCTATAAGTAGGAGTGGACACAGAGCTTGAATTCTGTCGATCTCTAACTTCCACCACACTTGGTGACTTCTTCACAGATTCATATATTCTCAGGCTCAAGTCAGACGGGATCACTTGAAAGGACGGCTGGATTTGTTTCCCCTGTTAATCATGTGTGGTACACATGTTTAAGAATTATGTCATATCTCATCACCTTACATTCAAATGAAAAATGGAACTTCTTCAAAAGCTGTGCTAAACCAAATTAGTGGGACTCAAGATTTATGACTGAAATTTCAAAATGAGTTACTCTGGCTGATCACTTGTCCCACCCTCTGTGGGAGAGGCACACTCTTATAGCCAGAGGAAAGGTCCCCCCTCCAGGGAGCCGGGGGGCTCTCAATTAGTTTCCTGTCGACCACCACAGGGAAGACCTCAAGGAAAGGGAGTCTCTGGTATAGCACAATTATAAAGCAAGATTCTCTCAAGGGCTTCCATGAGCACTACTGCCTTTCTCTGTTCCTGCCAGGCCCTGTCCACTGGAAAGGGAAAGTGACTTGAAGATGCAAACAAAAGAGAAGATCCACAGGTCTGAGCAGCAGTGTGACACCGTGCCATGCTCCAGAGACTAACCTGAATCCACCTTTCCATTCCAGCCCTGAGCAAAAAGTGCAATTGCTGGATCAAATGAGGCATTTTAAATTTTCATTGGTTCATAAATATTGATTACTCCCTAAGATGGATTTGACCCCTTTGGCTTTTACAAAAACTCTGCTCCCTAACTGGCCCACTTCTGGCTGCAGAACAAATTAACTGCCCACATTGCAGAACGAACATTTCTGGTTAAGCCATGTGCAGCATGCATGATGTTTATAAAGCAACCAGAGGAATCTGTGCTGGGACAACTGCATTTGCTTTAGGTGGCAGTGATTTTTGAGGATTTGTAGTTTATTTGTTGCTTTTATTTGTTGATTCCTTAAATCTGACAGTTTTCATGATCCAAAAGAATTCCTCTCTCTCAAAAAAAGCAAACTGTCTGTCCTTGAACATGCCCATTCACTCCCTCTGAGGAATGAGTCTCGAACCACTCTGAGGAGTAAAATTTATGGTTTATTTATAAACTTATGCACAAATGGACATGCTTCATTCACCCTCAGTCACCTCTGACACCTCTGTCTGCTCTCTCACCCAGCTGAGAGGGAATTAGGGAACTGCTTCTAAACCCAGGAGGTGGAAGCACACCTGGAAGCCACGATCCTCTCTGCAGAACACCATGACATATTTATATGTTTAATTCCATTCTAGGATTCAGGAACAATTTTACTAGCAGTAAAATGGGATGATGTTATATGTATACATTATAAAATCACAGCCAAGACCACACATGTCCATACAGAAACTGCTATTGAACCACATGCGATAAGCTTTCTGACTTTTTCCATTAGTACTATTTTTTTTTCTCTCAGCTGCTAGTGCTCAGTAGCAGACAGATGATAGCAGTTGCCAAAAATTTAAGAAATTTTATAGGCAAAAACCATGAAGCTGAGAAAACAATCCATTAGCTGTTTTATTTTGTTTTTTTTAATTTTCACTAATTGGGAAAAGATGGCTATAGTTTTGTCTTGGTGGAGAGACTAGGTACAGCAAAGAGCCTCTGGCCGGGCCTGTGGATGGGATCTTGGATGTGGGTACAAAGCCCTGGGCTCATCTCAGGATCACTCCTCCACCCCCATGGCACACCCTTTAAGAAATGTGAAATCCAAGGAAGGAAACACTGCACTCCCAGCTAAATGAAGCCAAAAAAGAACCCCAAGGTCATGAGAAGGATTCCACCTCCAACATGGCCCCCATGGTAAGAGCCCTTGGGTTACCTGAAATTTAGGACAGGAAGACAAAGAGCCTGTTAGGTGTCCTAAAGTATCCCACGGAGTTGGGGGATGGAGTGAGTCCTCCAAAGATGAATGAAAGAGCTTCCGTGCTATCTTCCACACACCTTTGGCCCTAAACCTAATTAATTGGCCTTGGGAAAGCTAGACCTGGTTTCTGAGCCATTGGCAGTCCTTATTAAGAATTCTCAGCCTGCCCCATGATCTGCTCTTGGCTAGAAGGGTCTCCACATCTGGCACCAGATGGCAACATACTGTAGTGGAAAGAAACTTGCCTGATCTGGGACCCCGCCTTCCACACTCACATCCCTGACAGCGCACTGGGTTCGTCTCCTGCACATACACCACATGGAGGCCTGGAGTTGCCTCTGGCCCATGACCGACCATGCCTGTGTGTTCACGGGAAAGGCATGGCAGCCCTAGCTTACGGGCCTGGATGGCTTTCATTAACTTGTATTAAATGTTCAAAGTAACTTGTGAGCTACTTTCTTTCGCATTTGTATTCAACATTGGGAGGTGATCTCTGAGTACTGCTGAGTCAGACACAAATGGTTTGAATCAAAGAGTGCAATTTAGGCCCTAATTTCTTCCTGACAGTTATATCTCAGCACATACGCACACAAACTACTGTAAGGAATCATACCAACATGTGAACTGTGATTATCTTTTGTCTGTTGAGATTACAGGCGATTTTTTACTGCCTTCTTTACACTGGCTTTTGTTTTTGTTTTTCAAATTGTCTGCAGTAGTATTACTGTTATAATCACAAAAAGAAAAAATTGTTATCAGAATCTTTGTGGTATGATGATGATAATAATTGGGTCCTACTGTTGATGCACAAAACAAACAACAAAAAAGCCCAGCATTTTAGCTTCAGGCTTCACAATATTACAGGGGCCCCAGTATGTGACACACTAACCCAGATCCAAAGCTCATTCTTCGCCAAGTGCCTATGGCATGCCTGCCTGCTCTGGACCAGCTGGGTGCATAGCAGAGCATCCCCTCATGGAGTTACAGAGGTGGACAATAACAACATCAGAGCTGAGAAGAGGGACAGATGGGGGCTTTGAAAACACATGACCAAGGTAGGCAGGAGGCAGTACCAGCTGGGAGATGGGGGTGGCCGGTGGGTGGACAGGGGCTGGATGGCAAAGGATCAGGTAAAGGGTTTGGACTTTATGCTATAGGCACTGGGAAGCCACTGGCAGGTTTTATATGCAGAGCGATGTGACCAAATTCGTGTTGTGGAAGAATCTTCCAATAGCGCTTTGGGGTGGCAAGGGACACCAGGTGAGAGGCAGTGAAGGCCCTAAGTGAAGCAGGGGCATAGGATGGAGGGAAGGAAGGGAGAAGCTTCAAGGAACATCAGGGGTCAGAATCAAGGAAGCGTTGCAGAGGTGAGGGGAGAAAGGAGCCAGGGCAACCCCGGACAAGATGGGGAAATGGGGAAGAAGCCAGTCTTCTGTGGTTTCTGTGGTGGGGACTGGACAGAAAATAAGACAAGCTCAGTGTCTGGCCTGTCCTGGGTAAGTCCACCCATGCTTTTCCTTCATTGCCAAACTACATGCCAGCCCTAATCGTCATATACTTACCATCCTAAAAACATGATTCTTGCAGTAGGAAGTGCACACGTAGGGAATTCTGAACATTCTTCATTCTGTTTCAAACACGTAATGCAGAAGCCTCCCTACATCAGACATTCTCACCTTGAAGACATAAGGGGGTGGGCACTACTCACCTCTTTTTGTGTCAACAGCAGTGACAGCCTGAATTAGAAGAGGCGCATTGGACTCTGAGTACTCCACAAAGACAAGCAGCAGCTTCAGGGCTGTCTTCACCACCAGGCGGAACTGGGCAGAAAAGATAAAACCATCACATAGCGGCAGACATGGCCTTGTGCACCTGAGAGCACCATCCCCCTGTCGCGGCTGGCACCCAGCTCACTCAGCCAAGGTGTTTCCTTCATTGGATCCTCACTGATCCCTCACTGCATACCTCAGAAGGCAGGCATTGGTATTGCCCCCATTGTGCAGATCAGTAAACTGAGACACAAAGTACCCTGCCCACAATCATACAGCTAGTAAGAAATGAAAGCAGAATTTGAACCCAGGGCACTCGATCCCAGTGCTCACAGCTGGCATCTCTTAACAAACAAGGTAGTGTTTGCTGAGTCGTTATTCATTTTATACCAACTACAACACTGTGAGGCAGGCACAATCACAATTCTTATTTTTCTAGTGAGGAAGCAGGCACAGCAGGTTAAATGATTTGCCCCAAATTACAATAGCTGGTGTCGGTAAGCAGGAACCTGAACCAAGTCACCTGTTCTTAAAAACCAAACACAGAGAGCTGCCTCAGGCCTAAGGACCCTTACTCCCTGGGCCCAGGGCTCAGCCTCTGTGAGGGGCCACCCATGGCCCAGAGGCCCTCCTGCACACAGGTGGAACCCTCCTTTGCCATGTTCCCTCAGGGAGATGACAGGTCACTCACCCAGAGAAAAGCCCAAACTTCCCAGCTGAAGCTGCAACTGATTCCTAACTCTAGCTTCACCAGCTCTGGGGCTGCAGCAGCCTGGGGGTTTCCAGGTCAGGTCAGCTCCCTCCACCCCCTATCTCTCCAGGTGCTGCTACAATCTCCTTGCCATAGTCTCCCTTCCCAAGAACCTCCTCCCGGAAATGGGATCAAATCGTGCATCTTAGAAGCCACGAGTCACCTTGGACTGAAGTCCTGACAAAGCTGTTTGCTTGGCAGTGCCCCTCCCCCATGAGCAGTAAGCTCTTTTGAGGGGAAAGGGGGCTTATTTGCATCGTGTCTGCAGGGCCTGGAACTGCTCTTGGCCACAAAGTGGGCTTGGAGATGGCTGCTCACGGAATGAATAATTAATGACCAGGGCAACCGATCCATGGCCCCTCACCCACCCCCTGCACCTCCATCACATGGTTGTGGCAAATCTGCTCCAGCTTCTTCACTTGCTCTGCAGCCCAAGGGAGACCACTCACATCAAAGTGTGCAAAATGCATAGACGCATGCAGACTTTACAGGTAACTTGGGGAAGCACAAGGAGGGAGCAGCTTAAAAACACCACCCACCCTAGTCATTTCTCCAAAATCATGCAACACCTCTACCCCTGCTGGGAAAATAGAGGAAAATAGTCAGGGCCCCTCAGATGTTCAGAATCTTGTTGAGCATTTGAGGTAAACATGCACGTGTGTCCAGGCGCTCCTTGGTTATTGTCTAATGTAATTGCACATGTGCGCAGGTGTCCTGGGTTATGGACTTAAGTATAAAGGATGAGTGGCTCTGATCCACGGCACCTTCCACCCCCAGGGAGCCATGGGGAGGCTGCTACTGCTGCTGGAGGCTGTTGCTGCCAGTGCCCCCCGGGGATGCCCTGAAAGGCCGCCACCACCGCTGCTGAGGACTGAGCTCATGTCGTCTGCCATCGGCTCCCAGGATCTTTCCCAATTACCTAGCATGGACCTGTGTGTGAGGGGTCTGGTGACCCAGTCTCTACAATGGGTTTGAAGGGTCTGAGCCCTAGCCCTGACAATACAAATGGAAACTTAATATAACTAAAATAATGAAACATTTTGGCTTTAGTTACAATTTGCCTTATCGACAACTGGCGTAGTCGTGTAGCTTTACAACCCTCATGCCCTTTTCTCTGCTGTCATTCTTACCTAGCAAACCAAACTGTCTTTTCCTTGATTCCACACCTCTCTCTGGCCAGTGCCCATCGTCAGCTCCCTTTCCAAGGAGTTGCTACAGCCCCCAGCTTCACAACCCAATCTGACAGGATTTCTATCACCAGCACTCAAATCACTCCTGTCAAGGCTGCCAATGGCCTCCATGTCGCCCATCCAACGGTTACTTCTCTGTGCCATTTTAGCTCAACTCACAGCAGCAGGTGCCACAACTGACTGCTCCCTTCTGCAGCTACCGTCTCCTCCCCGAGTGGCCACTCCTTACTGGCTCCTGGGGTGCTCAGTCTCTAGGTATGGGAAGGCCTCAGAGGTCACTCCCACACACTCTCTTCTTCCACACATCCTCTCCACGTGAGTTCATCCAGTCCCTTGGTTTTCAGGTCTAAGACGAGGTGCTACATGTTCTGTTGCTCTCTAGTCCTGCTCAAATGCCTGAGCCAGGTGGGCGTAGAGCCTCCTGACACTTGATTTCCACACAGATGCCAACAGGCACCTCAAGTTCATTGTGGCCAGAATTGAACTATCAATTTTCACTCCATTCCGCCCACCACTCCCAGCCCAGTCCCTCCACAGCCCCCACCTGAGTACAAGGCACCACACCCACTGCGCAGTAAGCGGGAGTCCCCTGCTCTTCTCACAGCCCATCCCCACAGCAGATCCACCCGCCAGTGCTGTCAGAAGCTCCGTCAAGATCTGTCCTGAACCCATCTCCCTGTCCACCCCTAAGTGCCTTGGCCTTGTCCCCCTGAAGTCCATTCTCCAAACTGCAGCTGGAGTGACCACCACACCCTCCTGCCCTCAGTCTTCCAATCGCCCCCATCCCACCCAGGTAAACTCCACTCCTGCAGGCTTTGTGTCCTGGCCCCTGCCAGGCTCTCTGAACCCCTGTCAGGTCACTCCCCCTCCTGCCCAGTGTGCTCCAGCCACCTACTCTGGATTCAGGGCCTTCTCACTGGCTATTCCCTCTGCCTAGAACCTGTGATCACAGGCCTGGCCCCTCCCATCCTTCAGGTCTGCAAAGTTCCCCGTGGAAAATGCCTTCCTGACTACTGCATCTGAAGGAGCCCCTTGATTCCAATCTCCTCACCGTTTTACTCCTTCACTTCCTTTAGCACGACCTGAATGGCGACACACACATTTGTTTGCCTGCTAATCCTCTGCTGCCCCAACACACAAGGGGCTGCTCAGTCAGTGCTGCGTGTGGGGGACAAGGCCAGCGCGGCCTCACGGAGGCTTGTCATCAAATCCATCCCCCTTGCGCCATGTGCAGCAAGAAGCGGCCTGGTCCCCACCACACAGGGGACCGAGGACTGGAGAGGGCGCCAGATCGTTCAGAGGGTTTCCACCCTCCTAACGTGAGTTCCACAATTGCTCCTCTGCTTCATGACTAGGAACAGACAAAGCTCCAGAGTACTTTTCTCAACAGAGGGTAGAGGAGAAGGTGTGGCATAATCAACTGCGCCTTGTACATTTACAGCTGAAGAAATTTCTTCAAGAAAAACCTAGCAAGTCCAGGCCTGGCGGCTTCCTCAGTGGGTGGACTATTATTATGTGGTTTAAGCCTTCTAAATGCCTTCCTGGGAAAGAACCTGGCCACTGCCCAACCCCATCCCCTATTAGCTGGTCTCAGCAGGGGCCGCTCATGACCATCTCACAAAGGTTCCTTCTGAGCATCTCTGTGGTCACGAGGCCTTGAACAATATGGTCCCAGGCACCCAGGATCCCAAGGCCGCCCCCCCTTATGATCCTCTCTAATTAAGAAACCACTGTTTTCTAGCAAAGTCTTCCTTTTTCTATCAGTCTCAACATGCCTTTTCATGTCTTCCTCTCCTCTGTTGTAAAGGCTCTGTTTGGAGCTCTTTGGCACTCTAATTTTATATTTTTAAAAACCTCAAACTCTTCTGATTCATGATTTTAGGTCTCTGTGAATTTGGCTTCTATTGAGTCTATGTTCATATATTTTTGGAAGCCATACCATATATATTAATAATAAACATATTAGTTAAACTATGCTAGAAAAACGAGCATCAGAACATTAATTTTGTGAAAATGCATGGCACTAATTACAAGCATGACCTAACTAATCATCAAAATACGTCCAGCAGGATCCTCCTCAGAAATGCATTATTAGCATTACTGCACAGACTTGAAAGCAATAAAGGTACATTACTTCCAAAGAATTCTATATCAAACCCTCATTTATCCAGAAATCACTTAATTTAATTCCCTCAAGTATCTGGAACACAGTCAAAATGCCTCAAAGTTTGGAAGAGCCACAACGGAGACCACACACCCTTTCCTCCAAATCCAAACACACTGCCCATCCCAAAGCTCGTAAAAATCTACCCTTGGTGCTCCTTACACTTATCTTAGACATATTTTAATAGGAGTGGCTATTGGGATTCCCAGCCCACATCCCCCGGAAAGAGGCAGACAAGAGAGGACAGGGATGGAGCAGGAGAGGCAGGCCCAGAGTGGCAGCAACAGTGGCATCAGGGTTGAGGAGGGGTGGGGACGAGCTGCACGGATGCCAGAGCACACACCACGTGCAGCTCAGATGCGGACGCCTTCTCTAGCAGACATATCAGTGAAGAGCTGCTCCAGTCAGAACTGCCTGATTTCCAGCCTGCCTGGCACTCCTTCCTGTTGTAATGAAGTTTCACTACAATGACTTATAGGCCCAAGCACTTGCCCATCTGTCTAGCAGAGAGAAAAATCAATAAAGGTTCATTCTCATTCGTATGGACCATCCCATGCCACAGGAAGACTTAGCAGTCATAAAACAGTTAAGCCAGGGGTACGGGCAACCAGGAGTCAGCATCAGCCCAAAGACAAACGAGCTGGCAGGGAGGTGAGATTCCTCATCCCTGCAGGTTCTGCATGTCCAGCTGCTAAGGCTTTTGTAGAAGAAATTCAAAACCTGGACGGGGTGGCCTGGTCCCTCCTGACCCAAGATTCTGGTTCTACTTTCAACAATGTTTTGAGCACCTTCTGGGTGCTCAGCACCCACTGAAGTTCTATGACACAGGAACAAAGCCGCAGACCTGCCTTCAGGGAGATGACACCCAGCAGCTCAGAGAGGACCCAGACCACCACCATGCCACACGGACTGAGAGCGTTGCCTGTACTAGAGGCCCTCAAAGCCG